CCCTTATTGTTTTATTAGGGCACCCACCCACCGCGCAGGGGTGGGGGCCAGGGGGGGAGGACAGTAGGTCCTGCCCCCTTATTGTTTTATTAGGGCCCCACCCACCACGCAGGGGTGGGGGCCAGGGGGGGGGACACAGAAGTTCCCCCCCATATCTTTATTTAGGGGCCCCACCCACCCACCGCGCAGGGGGCGGGGGGCCAGTAGGTTCCCCCCCATCTTTATTTAGGGCCCCCACGGGCATGGGGGGGGGGGGGTTTATTAGTTTTTTTATTTATTTTTTTTTACAGTGAGCAGCTATAAGCTGCTCACTGCTTACTACACATGCCCCTACTCGCGATATAGCGAGTAGGGGCATAATTTACTAATACTAAGTAATCTTTACTTAGTATTAGTAAAGTTGGCTGTTAGACCAATTTAGGTCTTTCAGCCTTTTAGTAGATAGCTCCCTGATACCGTGGGAATTAGGGAGTTATCTACTAAGCGGCTGCAAAATGCAGCCACAGCAATGAATAGGATCAGAGTTTCATTCATTAGAATGAAATTCCGATCCGAATAAAATGCCGAATTGCGTTCTAAAAGAAACGAACAGACTGTTGTCATTCAGTTAGAACGCAATTCGGCAGTTTCATGTAAAATGACAGGAAGCATTGTGGGAACACAGAGGGAAGCTAGGGATCATGGGAAAATTGCTCTGACCAGCGGAAATGAAGCACACTTTGCTCCTCCGCTGGTCAGAGCTGGTCAAGCGGAGGAATCCTCCATAAGGCAAAGAGTCCCTACTTTGTCTTATGATTTTAAAGAAAACTAAAGAAGACAGGAAGAAATGAAGAACAGATCCTGAGAGAGGGGGAGAAGAGGAAGAGATTGAGGAAAGGTAAGTTCGGCATGACAGTGCCGCTTTAAATGCTGGACTGTTAGGTGGGCCTTGAGGAGAGATTTGAGGAGCACTGCTTTAGAGCAGGGCATAACAAACTTCAGGTGCTAGGTCACCATGGCGATTAGGAATTGTTCTGGCTCAGATTTGTTAGCCCATTCCCTCCAAGGCGGATGTACGTCTGATGGAGAATGGAGGCAAGTGGCTGGCCGTCATTGAGAGAATGGAGGCAGGTGGCCGGTTGAGTGAGGGAGCAAGATGGCAGGTGTGTGGGTAGGGGCCAGAATGCCAGTGAGGTGAAATCTTCTAGCTCTGCTTCCTTGTGCCCCTGCTGTGATGATGGAAGAAAGAATATGACCTCACTTAACGGCACGCGAGGGTTCAGAGAAAGAAGAGCTTAAAGATTTCATCAGCCACACTGGACCTCAGGGAAAGGATCCACGCCAGCTCTCCCAAAGGTAGGTTGGGAGTATGAGAGAATGTGTGTGTCTGTCAGTCAGTGTGTCTGTTTAGGTAACCTCCCCACCTACGATCGCATGGGAAAGGTGGAATTTACTCACCCTTTTCCCATGCTATATCAGTCTCGTTGTGGCTGGCCCTGCCTCCATTGCTGAGATAATCAAGCTTGATTATCTTAGCTACTTCTTTGCTTTCTCACAGTGCTGCAGGTAAAGACACCAGGTACAAAATCAAACTATTCTAAAACAGTTTGACTATTTACATTGGGGGGTGCTATTTACTGTAGTGGTTATGGAGTGTTCTTTTAAAATCATTATTTGTATTACTAATCATCATGAAATGGATTTGGTAAATCAGAATCTGTAATCACTAGAAATCAACAAAACAATGCACACACAACTATATATATATTTATAAATAAATATATATATATATATATATATATATATATATATATATATATATATATATATATATATATATATATATATACACATACATACATACATACACACACACTGAACAAAATTATAAAACGCAACACTTTTACTTTTGCCATCATTTTTCATGAGCTGAACTCAAAGATCTAAGACTTATTCTATGTACACAAAAGGCCTATTTCTCTCAAATATTGTTCACAAATTTGTCTAAATCTGTGTTAGTGAGCACTTCTCCTTTGCTGAGATAATCCATCCACCTCACAGATGTGGCATATCAAGATGCTGATTAGACAGCATAATTTTTGCAAAGGTGTGCCTTAGGTTGGCCACAATAAAAGGCCACTCTATATACACACACACACACAAACATATCCACACACGTAACACCTTTAATCAAGCAAAACAATATTTATTTATTGTGGATTATTCAAAGAACAGAAGGATGTTGCTGACAGGAAGCTTGCACAATGTAAGAAAACCTTCTCAGGAACGTGGAACTTTAATAAAAAATTAAAAAAAAAAATCTATTTGTCCAAGTGGGTATGGTGCTTGTGTGTAATGCGTGTGTGCGCCGTCTGTAAGATGCTTGTCTATTAATGGTATTCTGTGTTTTGCCACACTCCTACTTAGCCTTTTTCCTGGTAGCTCAGCATGGGTCCTGGATCCCTGGTAGTCTAGTTTCGGTATACCATAGTAATCACTCTTTCCAGTCCCAGAGATAAGTAAAGCAGAGTGCAATCTGTTAATATGATGGCTACACTATGGCTTATTAGTAAGCACAGGGGCTGTAAGGGATAACTGTGCTCCTCCCACAGAGATGGGATATTAGGTGAAAGAATTTTCACATCTCTACTAAAGTTGCATACATGCAAATTTGTTGGCAAGTTGCGTATTACCAATGGCATGCATGTATCAGAATTACAGATCCCCTAGATGATTGACAACCTGAGTTTCAGTTTCAATACTGACAAAGTTGGGAATTCTATACATACATTGTCAGGGACAATCCTAGGCTGGTGCACAGTGCCCAGGCACCAAGTGGATGAGACAGAAGGAGAGCGCCGACAGGAATGAGAACTGAAAAGCATCATGCCCTGGTAGTTCATGGCCGTGTGAGGTGGCAAGGTTGACCATGTAGTTCACGCACCCCCACCAACCCTTCCCCCGCCTTCTAAATACATATACACTCCGTGTCAGACACAGACACATACTCTCACTGACACACACTCCCACACGGTGTGTGTATGTGTGTGATGCTCTTCCTGTAAATGTGTGTGTTCACCTGTGTAGCCAAAAATCCCAGCAAAAGCCCTGGAAGGAGTCTATTCAGCGAGCATCTAATGTATCTAACTTTTGCATCAACCTTTATCGCTGTTTCTGTGTACATCTTTCTGTAATTACACAGCTCTCTTTCTCTCTCTGGAAAAGTGATGATAAATATAAAATGCTTACAAGGTCAATCACTAAAGTGAGTAATGTCAGGAGTTCAAAGAGAACTTTAAATTTAAGGCCAAAAGTAGCCTAACTGAAAACAGTACTGACATGGAGAATGTGAAGGACCGCCTGGCGCTCCGACCGAGTACCTCCGTCAATCGCTGCTTCCTAGTATTTGCGAGTATCATCAGCACTGCACCGGAACACCATAACCACCCTAAACCCCACGAACCGCCACAGCTTGGATGGGGTCTTGCCGTCCTCCACCCATCCTGGACCCAAGACCAGGATCCAGCTTCCAGTGGGTAGGCCTCTCCTAGTTCAGAGAGCGTAGCAGGAACAGCTCTTACAAGAGCTTAGTGATTATACGCAGGGGAGTATAGTGATTATAGCAATCCCCAGAGTGTAGTTCTCCAATCCCCCAAACATGAGCCGAAAGTTCATGAAGGTGCAAGATGATCTGAGAGTTTTATGGTACAGGCTGGATTTTTATACAACTTTTCAGGCCAGAGGAACACCCACTGGACCTGATGGGGCACAGGACACATATTGTACAGACCAATAGAAACAATGTAACAATGCCTGACACTCCCACATACAGCACACAATCCCTCCCCCATGCCTGTAATACAATTAAGGTAGATAATGTATTAATGTAATTATCCCCAAGCATAAAAATCACATATTTTACAAAGTCTATTAAGTACCCAAAAATACAACATATCTCCAAAAGTCACATCAACTGAAAGCCCTTATCTGGGTGAACAACATATCAAAAATCACCCAGATCAGAGCAGGGGTTCAAAAGTTTCATGGAAGTCTTATTTTTGACCCACCGTGCACATGGTCCCATGCCCAAAACAGGTACAGAGAATTAGGGCTAACGGTCGGTCTCTCTGTCTGGAGTACAAAAGTACATACTTCACATGAACAGAGCCTTTAAAAGTGCATTGGGCAAGGTATATTGCAGGGCCCATAGCCCTAAGGCAATAGGCTGGCCAGCAGGCTTCTCCAAGAACCCTTGGCGAGATTCAGTTTGTCACAGGGCCATAATCACAGGGTAGGAGACTGGCAAACAGGCCCCTCCAAAAGCCAGTGACGAGGTTACTTTCGCCACAGAGAACATTTCCAATTCAGCTATTTTAGCCTCAATTTTTACATTCGCTATGAATTCAGGGCAATTCTTACTTTAGCAAATACTCCCAATAATGTCTATTCATTTTTAGCTGCATTAAAAATGCAAATGGCAGTTTTTGTTTCATAGTATTGCATTTTGTCTTTGTCTCGGAGTTTCTCTGTCGCAACCGATCGGCCTCTTTTCATGAGATCGATGATCTCAGCCAATCCAATGCTTTCACGTAGGAAAGCATTGGGAGGCTAGTGCCCAATAACATGGTAGAAATAGAGGAGTTGACTCTCATAGTGACAGCCACTAGAGGCAAGTTAATAATGCAAAGAAAATATTGCTCTTCCTACAGAACGACAATTTTTTTTAGGTGCAGGGTTAAAACGCAGAGTACATGACATTGTGATGAAGTGGCCTGGATGCATATAATGTTCCTTTAAGTTGAAGTAGGTCAGGTGCTTAGAGTGTCCTTCTAAAAATATAAAAGGTTACAACTTAATATAGTGGCGCTGTATTTTATGAGAGTAGTCACCCAGTCTTCTGTCTGAGCGCTCTGACAGGTATGTCTCAGTTCACTCTCGAGTTGCCTCGGAATACTTTAAGCAGGCAACAGCTATGTTTATACATGCTGCATTTAGCATACAGAAGGTGCTCAAAGGTTTGCATACCCTTTTTTTTGGAAATATGAATGATCATGCAAAAAAAAATATTTCATTGAAAATTTGTGATCATATTAAGCCATTTATTATCACATAGTTTGGCTCCTTTTTTTTTAAACTTTTTTTTTGTTGCCCAGTGGTATTACAGGACAGCAGTACAGTCAAAAGTACAGTCAAAATATGATATGAGAGAATTTAGCTGTAAATCTGCACACTATTTTTTAGTAAAGAGAATCAGGCTTGAGAAATGGCTTAAACGAAGAGCAGAATACACCACCCTAGACAGCTCTAGTGACACTAGAAACATCCTACTTATATAGTAGCATAGAAAAAAAAAAAAAAAGAAGAAAGAAAAAATGTGTTGTCATCTGAAGTATGCCTACAGAGGTTATAGGGTAGAGACCTACAATATAGGTAGATTAAACAATGCATTTTATATCGAGAGACAATAACTTGGGAGGTATCATGCAACCAGACACTCTAGGTGATGGTCAACCTATCCCCACTGCAGGGAAATAAGAGTCCCATGTTGCCTGGGTCTTCAGGTTCAGAGCCGGAGAGATTAACAGGAGATCCTGTGCCTGCAGTTGCCTTCCCGGCTCATCTTTCATGCCGATTCTGGAGGTTAGTGGATGCGGGGCTTGCCAGCATTCCGCCTTCTTCACGATGAGCCGACACGGCCACCTCCAGCAAGTTGGGCCTCTGGCGGAAGCAGCAGGACAGCTCGGCTGGGCATCTCTGGAGCTCCCACAATCTCAGGTAGTGTCTGCTGTGCTGCAGCGTGCTCCAAAATGCGTTGAAGAGGGCCTCCAATCGCTGAAGTTTTGGTGATAGTTGTACTCGTGGCATTCGCCATTTTGGATGTAACTCCGATAGGCTTGCAGGCACTAACTGCACTACTGCAGCTCTCTGATGGGGTATGGGAGCTGTCAGGGTGGGGACCCGGGATCACCCCACCGGTCCAAAGGGGGTAACCAGGGTATCAGGTGCTTAGTTGGAGCCTCGTCCATGACAGGCTGGGTGGTGGGCTGCATCTCTCCTCCACGCAGCCCGCTAGGCCGCACTGGTACTCAGCGTTTGGAACAGCTTAGAAGACCAGGCTAGATACTCCATGGGGAGCAGAAAAGAACCGTCAAAAGACCTGCTTAACAAGGTAATGGAAATATTATAAAGATGGAGAAGGATATAAAAAGATATCCAAAACCTTACAAATGCCAGTCAGTACTATTTGATAACTTATTAAGAAGTGGAAAATTCAGGGATCTCTTGATAAAAAGCCAAGGTCAGGTAGACCAAGAAAGATTTCAGCCACAACTGCCAGAAGAATAGTTTGAAAAACCCACAGGTAACCTCAGGAGAAATACAGGCTTCTCTGGAAAAGACGGTGTGGTTGTTTCAAGGAACACAATACGACGATACTTGAACAAAAACAAGCTGCATGGTCAAGTTGCGAGAAAGAAGCCTTTACTATGTCAATGCCACAAAAAAGCCTGGTTACAATATGCCCGACAACACCTTGACACGCATCACAGCTTCTGGCACACTGCAATTTGTAGTGACGAGACCAAAATGGTTCTTTATGGTCACAACCATAAGCACTATGTTTGGAGAGGGGTCAACAAGGCCTTTAGTGACAAGAATACTGTTACGGCTACCCAGCTAGAGTGAGGGTATCAGCCGTTGGGGACATCCTTTTCTTCCCGGCAAGTCGCTGTGTAGTGATGGAGCTGCTTATTTCCCTCTGCTGGATCCGAAGTAGAAGTCAGGTACAGCTCTGAAAAGAGCTTAGTGATTATGCTGCAAAATTCCCCTTTCAAGAACGAGACAAGGCTACGTTTTGAAGGGTCAAGAAGAACTAAAGCTTTAATGACAGACACTCTCTTTTATGTGATTCTGCCCATGCAAGGGAGACACCCACATAATTAATAGTACAGCCAATAAACACAATATACATTCTGTACATCCCCTCCCCTTAGATAACCACATAACATAATTAAAAGAAACATGTTTTTCCCCAAAGTTTGGATGTAACCCAAATACTTGGGGTACAAGCATCCGTATGCCATCTTGGGTTCGCTGGAATCCCCATAAGTTGTTGAGTCTTTCTACCGAATGCCTTGTCGTTCGGTAGTTGTGGCATGATTTCCTGAAGGTATGGAGGTCTCAGCGGTGTTCGCCTATCCGAGTGTCCGATTTTAGTTTCAGACACTCGACGGCAAAACACCGCTGTTCGGGAGTTAA